TCGTAGTACACATTGCTCTGTGCACACGCAGATGAAGCCCTGTTTAACCACTTTGCATTTAAGAACGCCTGTATATGAATTATGCGTCATCGCGTGTATATATGAGGTATACTTAGTTAGGCTATCTCTGGGCCCCTATAAGTTTCATTACTGCTGTTATATTCGTAAATATTGGTGAAATATTTACTAGACTGTCTTCTTTGCTCATGTATACGGCGTTACTGAATTGAGTTTTGCAAAATTGTTTTTGACTGCACAGGTCCAGCCTACATTTACTCGCAATGAGTTTGCAGAAGACGTAAAAAATAAACAAAATGAAGTGCTGTTATTTTCTCTTTAATGCGGTAGATTTTTCTTGTGCGCAGACACATTTGGTGCCGATTAAGATGCCAGGACATACAGCATGATGACAAGCGTATTAAATCAGCATTCATGTAAACGCTGAAACACCCCTAATTATTGTCATCTTTAGCAGTAATGCGGTAAGCACAATTTATTATTATAGAAATATATGACTGCTTAACGATTTTTTTACCTTGGTAATGAATGCATATTTTTTGCACGCGGAAACGGAACGGCCATTAGGTTACCCTACGTGCTGCTGACTACCCTCACATATTTCGCTACGTGAAGTAATGTTGCCTTTCATGCTCACAAATCCTTAAATCGGAATCAGTGAAACCGGTGTAAATAAAGGCAGGTTACGAGCCGTGTTTGTCTCAGAATGGTTAATCAGTTCTTTATTTTTTTTAAACGTCTGCGGCGAGTTTGTTGTAGAGGAAGTCGTGTAACAGTGCTTGGTTGGCCAGACAGAGCGACGGAATGAATAACAAGAGGCTGGAAGTGTAGCCCAATGCGGCAAGTGGTTAGGCAGAGGATTAGGCAAATAGTTGGGAATGACGAAGTAATTTATTTGCAATTGTAGCGAGTGTCATGTCTTCCGCCTCCCTGTTATCCTCGTCAAAAGTACGCTACTTCACCATACGCTATCAAGAATGCTTAGGTGGAGCCACAAAAAAAAAAAAATATTAGCAGGCACAAAATGAAAACATTTCGTGCAGGACAGGGTGAATGGGAGATCATTCGAAGTGGTTTTCGTCCTGAAGTGTACAGAAAACATGACGACGATGACAAAAATTATGATGATGATGCATATGAACGTCCTTTGAAGAACCACCTAGAATAAAATACTGCCATTTAAGAAGCTTACGTATGGACGTGTAAGAAATGGATATTTCGATGAACTTTCTAGTACTAAAATTATTCCATACGTATAAGAGATACTGCAGGGAGACGTACTGAGTAACAGCAGAAAGTAAGAATATAAATATGAATATAAATGAAGGAAAAACAGGGAGAGGAACGTCATTAAAGTTAGGTAGTGCACGTACCGGCTAGCCACGCTTTGTAATAGAAAAGCCCTGAGAAAAATAAATTGGTAACTGAGTGAAACAGGCAACGCATAAAAAAAGAGCCAACGAGATGGTCACCAACTACATTCGAAAGGTTGCCTTCTAGCTTTGTAGGAAAATCTCTCCAGGCATGATTGCAAACAAGGACGACGGAGTAACGAACGCAGAAGAGCAAGATGTTGAACTCATCGCGAAGGCTCTGCTACGCGACTCGCGACGCGATCTACTTCCCTGAATACATTGCCATAGTACCGGTAGAACACGGCATGATTCATTGCCATACTATAGCTCAGAGACGAAACGAATAAACGAAAGTGGTAGGTCCAGAATAATAATAATAAAAACACTTCATCATACACCAACTTGGACAGAAAGAAGAGAAGAAAGAACAACGTTGGGTGGCTGCACAATAAGACCACTGCGCTCGTGAGGTCAACGGACAAAAGTGTGGCGACTGCGTATGGTATAGACACGACTGCGCGCAGCGCTATTATTCCTATTACAAAAGGCACAACGCTCGCCGGGATGCATGCGAGCAAGGCCGATGCTTCACCGAACCGGCCTCATACAGAACAGGTTTCAGTCGTTAAAGGTTAAAAGTAAGAACGTTCGATAGATATCGGCGATCATCGGATGCAGCGATGCGGTGATCTCGAAGGGTAAACGAGTGGCCTGCGTGGCTCGTATAGACAGACAACTGCGTAGTAACTGCATGCGCCCGCGTGGTCAAACTGAGAGAAATTATTTACTACACGAAAAAGAAGGCATGTGGCAGGTTTCGGAAGAAACAATCGACCAATGTAGCACGCGTACTTGCGAAGCCTATCTGAACTGTTTTCGTTCATACTGAAGGCCAGGGGAGCTTTTCTGGAACTCTCTTGACTCGTGATCCTCGGCCTGACGTCATCAGAACCCACTCATGTGCTGCAGGAAGCAGCAAGCCATTATGTAATCACGGAGGTGCTCTGAATTGGAGGCAGCGCGTTCGACCGCTAACGATATCACATAGTCAAACAATATTGGTCGCGAAACTTTGAACGCAAACCGGTCGAAATCCTATCACCACCGACATCAGCGCCTACCGTATACGACTGAAGCGTGACTTCGTAAGGAGGGCACAAATGAAAAAAAAAAAAAAACACCGATACCTAATTGAATATTTTTGATACTCCTGATTTTACATGTGCCACCGTAAACTGGAAATTTACTTTATGGTTTATCTGAAACTTGACTGATAGTTGGTTACGTGATGTTTCATTCGAGAGCCATAAATGGGGAGCGTATGCAGGGCAGTCTGCCATGTGGGTTTAGGGCAGCGCATTCCAGCGTCGACGAGGCAATGCTCACTTTTGCATGGTGGCTTTGTGCGCATTTTCCCTGAATTATTTATTTGCTTATGCGTTGTTTACTGGTGTGACACTTCAGAGAAGCTGAACTACTTCACGGACTGAGTATAGGATGACCACTCCTGTGACGGCCGACGGCTTTCGCTGGCGCGTGGCCAGGGCGTGCCCTCGCTTTTCGTAACGGTGAATACGGCACGCTAAGCGAAGGACCGCTGTACTCTGAGGTTCCCGAAGAGATATTCTCGATTTTGTTGTCTCAATTCAGTAGGTTTCCTACATTGGGCCACGCAAGTTTTCGAAATATAGTGCGATTTTGCTCGACAATCATTGTACCACTATTCCTTCATATGCTAAGTAGATGGCGTATATTGCAAGCACACGTTATTATTTCGCTAATAAACAACCTCGCTTCCCCAGTCTTTCTTGCTAATCTTACATACTTAAGTGGCAAGCCACAAGCCGGCAATGCTTATAATTATTTAAAACATGTCAACGGCCAGTATTTCGAAGAAATTTCAATTTCGCGACTTTTTGTGCGAATTGCGTGATTTCGCTACCACGTCTGGTTGTGGCGTCATCTTTTTCAAAATTTTTGCTTGCTATTAGCTGTACCCTCGATATACAGATGGTGGCAACGCACCGCCAGCTGTTTCACACACATGCTTATACGAAAGTTATGCTGCCAGCTTATATGCACCTTGTTCTACGCGTGGCTTCCGAGATTCGTGCGAAGAAGAGCGGAACTGAAGAAGCCGTGTTCGCCTCATCGAAGCCCATTCGGTTTTTCTCATTTGTGTCACAGAAGTCATTTGCCATGACGTCGCGATAGGAGAACCGAAAGCAGGGGGTGCATGCTCGTCAACCTTCACCTGTGAACGGTGGCAGACTGCCCCCGAAAGAGACACAGAGTAAAATGATCATTCACTCATTGTGCAGTTTCGTATTCTCACCAACTGGGCAAACTCGGCAAAACACCGAATATCACTGAATGGCGCAATGCAGAGCTTTTTCTCGTGAAGCTTTTATGGGAAAGGAACAACGCCTGCTCTATAATGCGGTCCTGAAGACAGGGGAGCTGCATCCTGCCATTGTTAGTTGACTTCAGCCGCGTCGTCTTATGAAAGAGAGGGTTGCTCGGTATGGTGCCATCGAGAATGGGGATGGAAGACATTAGATCTACTTCATAACATGCGTTATAACAGCTTCGTGCTACCTACTGCGCACCAGTGTAGTACCTACAGGCCACCAGTATAGTACGGAAGGTTAACCCCCTGATTCCTTGGCGAATGTTACAAAATAGTTGTGGACTAAAAGACCAAGGCGATACGGATGTACACAAAAGAAAAAAAAAGTGAGAAACTGCAGTCATTCGACTGCGCATGGAGGTGTAGGAACATTCTTAGGCTTCTAGAGTTCCGAGATGTTCCCCATGACAGCGAGCACTGTGGCGCGTGCTCGCATCAATTCTTAATCATGACAACTCCCTTTAAAACACACATCATTCTATAGCACACCGCAAGAAAGCGAGTTTAAGTTTGCAGTGAATTATTCAATGTCTTGCAACAAAGTTATGTTACTGGAGAGGACTTCATATTTTGCGAGCAAAAATATCTTTCTAAGGCCGCAGTCGTGTGGGTCTATGGTCAGCAAGATCAATATATTTTCGGGGCCACCAGAAACACTTATGATAAATTTACCTATATATAAAAAATTTTCGGCTCCGATTTTTTTTTCATAGTTAAGGCCTCACAAAAGCCTCGATATATTCCGCGTGTCCGATGAAGCACACATCGAGCTTCACTCAAGGTGAAACGCTAAGCGCTGAAGCATTCCAGCGAATGCCTCTTCCACGTATCTGCTGGTGGGAAGCTCACAGGCTTTGTTTCACCTGTACTTTGTTAAGAGCTAAGCGAGATTTAATGTTGACAAGCACCTATAGCGTTTAATTTGCACTAAAGTAGATATTTAGTTGCATCTCCAAATGTCGCACGCAAGAAATAACTGCAACCCGCCAAGTAAATCGCAGAGTTTATATAGAGCACATAGCAGCTCATCGCGCAAAATTCCCACATCATACACTGGCGTGCGTCACGTATACACTGCTGCAAGGCAGCTGACTTAACTTATTAGCACATGTCACGAGTTCGAATGTCCACACATGAGAAGCAAGAAGAGAGAGCTGACACGACGTGAAACACGTCGGCGGTGAAAAATGGCGGAAAGCGCGCCATGCGGCTTGGCCTCAAGCCCCACGGCTGCCTTCGTCGAAGAAGGTGCACTTGGAAGACGGGTTCATGCGCGAGCCGACGGGGCAGCGGAAGGCGTCTGCGAACGCCGGCAGGTTGGCCAGTGGCACGTTACAGGCCTGCGCGGCGTCTCGTGCCTCCTCCTCGTCGGCGGCGGCGCACAGTACGTGACAGTACGTGAGAAAGAAGACCTGATCGCCCAGCAGATGCCCGAGGAAGGCCAGTTGGAGGCCGTCAGCCGTTTTGTTCTTCCGCGAGGCGGACTTGTACGCTCGGAAGACCGTCTCTAACGCTGGCACGTGGGGAAACATGCCGAACGACGACGGAGTAGGTTTCGCGGCGTCGACTTCCCACGTCGTGTTTTTCAGACACGACATCCGACTCCTGTACTCGCCCGACGTGCTGGGACCCCACCACCCAGCTGGGCGCTTGTCGAATCGACTGCGCTCCCGGTGGGGTCGAACGAGCGGGTCACCTCGCGGGTGACGTAGGACCCGAGGCCAGCGTAGTTCATAGCGTCGGTGCCGTCCACGGTGAACATGGGCCTCTCGAGGGCGTCTAGCGAGACGCGCACGATGTTCGTGTAGTACTCGTACAGCGACATTGGTGCGCCGCTCTCGCCGATGCGCCGCCGCAAGACCCTCTCGTACGTCTCGGTCCCCACGAAACCTCGCAACACGGCGCTCGCCTCGGTGAATCGCACGAGGAAGCTGGACGATTCGTCCTTGGGAGTGAACGGCTCGTACAGCGCTTGCCGGTCCTCGTCTCGGAAGAAGTCGATGATGGGAAGACGTCAAACGTCATGGCACTTAGTTTGCGGGTGGCCTCCTCCTTGGCGCCGTCGCTGACCCAGCGCAGGTGCAGTATCATCTCTATGGCAGCCGTGGTGAGCGCTTGGAGCATATCTGCCAGCTGTTTGCGAACCTGAAATGCCAGAGGTGTGGCGTGAGGCACGAAGAAGCTTAGTCTGAGGACTGTAATTTATGGCTGGTCAGTTCAGAACTTGTAAAACAGCACACAAAACGCAGACGTACGGGAGGCTAAATAAAGACACGAAAGATTGCGCTGCTCTGTTTCTCTTTGCTTCCGTCATTTAACCTAAATACGTCACTGTAGTCGCAGTCGGGTCTCTAGAAAAGAGCCCATAGTAAAGAGTAGAAGTCCGACGTGGCGATTGATTTCCGCTACTGTATATTACGACCTGCGTCACATTTCTTTTTCGCCTTTAGTTTATGTCAGATTGCGCATACGTTTTCGTCGACATGAATATGGAGCTTTCGCTATATTACACTGGCTGAGCGTAAGGTCCGGTAAGTTGCTCAAAGGCATGTCACACCAAGACTTTCATCTGCGTGTGCACGTGTTTCACTTACACATGTTTATGGGAAATAAGAGGTCTTAAGAGATTTTGATGTAGCGGCCACCCTGTATCCCACTGTAGCTCCTGAACATTTACACCACAATGCTGATGTCATTTTACATATATGAAGTCGCAGGTGTTTTTTCAGTGTTTCATTGCGAGATGGATAAGCTTATGAAGTTCATTTGGGACAACAGTGCCTTTTCTAATTCGCTGCTTTATTCTAAACAAGATATAAAGTATGATAAAAAGGTGAAGACACTAGACGGCCACCACCTTCATCGCACAATCTCATATTGTATGTCTTGGTGTTATTACTGTGAAACGCAGTAGGGAACGTTTCAGCATATTATAAGCATGTCGTAGAAACTGCAGCATGGATGCCTCATGCGAGTTGTTACTTAGTCGACTGATAAATATAGGTAGTATTTTCAACGGCCACCAAGGGTCACAAACCGCTCAAAATATACAAGTAAAAGAAAAAGCCCTATACAGTAGGTACAGCCAGCGTGGGCCTTCCGTTTACATGTGTTGCTGAATGAAATCCTGCAGCCTCTGAATAAAGAGTTCTGTTAGAAGAATTAGCAGGAAATTCAGAGCCGCAAACATAATAAGGATTCTAAAAGGGGCAATTGGACTAGATGTATTGTTACGGGGAAGAGTTATTCACCGACAGCAGGTCTTGCTAACGGCTTAAAATGCGCACAGTCATGTAGACCAATGGGGGGAGCTCGAGAGACCAACACACAACAACCACGTTGTCGTCTTCCTCCTTTCGGGTGTCATTTCAGCTGTGCCGAAGCGACAGTGCCATACACGTATCCTGCCCCCGGCCGGTAAGGCACCATCTCGGTGCCTGTTAAATGAGCGAGTCCACGTTGTAGGACTTGAGACGGAAAACATGGACTATATTTCCGTTCTGGGTGTAGCAGCCGATGAGTTTGTGGTAGCGGCAATCTCGCAGGTCACAGGTGTGACCTGATGAAGGACTCGGTAGGGCCCAGCGTACCACGATAGTAGTTTCTCGCAGATGACGACATGTCGAGATGGGAGCCACCGGAGAACAAGAGATCCCGTAGAAAAAACGGCACACCTATGGTGAATGTAAATGGACTTTTGTGCTGTCTGCGACGGTGACAAATGAGCGCGGGCTACCGCGCGTGCCGTGAGAGCACGGGTGATCGCATCATGCGCGTAGGAAGCGGAGGATGGTTGGCCTGATGAAAGCAGTGTGTCGAAGGGCAGTAAGGGATGACGTCTTAAGAGTAGATAAAATGGGGAGTAGCCTGCTGTTTCATGACGCGACGAGTTATAGGTGAAGGTGACGAACGGTAGAGCTATGTCCCAATCAGTGTGGTCGGTAGATACGTACATGAAAAGCATGTCTGTCAATGTGCGGTTTAGGCGCTCTGTAAGGCCGTTAGTCTGAGGGTGGTAAGATGTGGCGAAGTTGTGACGGGTAGCACAAGATCGGAGTAGATCATCAACCACACGAGATAGAAAGTAGCGACCACGGTCTGCGAGCAAGTGAGACGGAGCGCCATGCTGCAAAACAATGTCGTAGAGCAGGAAGTCGGCAACGTCTGTTGCGCAGCTGGTTGGTAGCGCTCGAGTGATTGCATACCGAGTGGCATAATCTGTGGCCACTGCAATCCATTTATTTCCAGTTGTAGAAGTAGGAAATGGACCTAGCAAGTCCAACCCCATTCGATAAAACAGCTCGGCTGGAACTTCAATGGGTTGAAGAAGACCGGCAGGGGGAGTCATAGGCTTCTTTCGGTGCTGGCAGAGGTCGGAAGATGCGACGTAATGGTGAACGGAGCAGTAAAAACCCTTCCAGAATACTCGTCGTCGAATGCGGTCGTAAGTTTTTGAGACTCCTAGATGTCCAGAAGTTGGAGCGTCGTGAATTTGTCGCAGAACATCTTTTCGCAGGTGAGGTGGTACGACGAGTAAAAGTTCCGCGCCGTCGGGGTGTAAGTTGCGGCGGTACAAAACCTTGTCTTGAAGCAGGAATCTGCTAAGGGAAGGGTCAGTATGATGCGATTGAAGGCGGTCAATGATGGTGAGCAGCGATGGATCTCGGCGCTGTTCGTCGGCCACGTTCATAAAATCAGTGATGACTAAAACGCAGCCATCAGATTCCAAATCATTGGAGTTAGTTGGATCAACGGGATTCCGGGATAAGCAGCCAGTATCGCTGTGCAGCTTTCGAAGTTTGTACACAACCGAAAACGTCTACTCCTGTAATCGATGTGCCCATCGGCCAAGTCTTCCTGTAGGGTCCTTAAGCGTCGACAGGCAGCGAAACGCATGATGGTCCGTGATGACTGCGAACGGACGTCCGTATAAGTACGGACAGAATTTCGCGATGACCCAAACAAAGGCTGAGCATTCCCGCTCAGTGGTGAAATATTTTTTTCCGCTTGCGACAGAAGGCGAATAGCGTAGGCTATCACACGGTTGGTGCCATTCTGTATCTTAGCGAGTATAGCACCAGTGCCATGGCCGCTTGCATCGGTGCGAAGCTCTGTTCGAGCCGCTGGTTCAAAATGAGCCAACACAGGTGGTGATGTGAGGGCGGTAATCAACGACGCGAAGGAATGTTCTTGGTCCTTCCCCCAAGAAAAGGCCACATTATTTTTGAGAAGATTCGTGAGGGGCCTAGCAATATCCGCGAAGTTGAAGACAAAGCGGTGGAAGTATGAGCAAAGCCCAATAAAACTGTGAACTTCTTGTGTGGAACGCGGAACCGGGAATTCTCGGACTGCGCGGACTTTGTCAAGGTCGGGTTGAACACCAGTGGAGTCAACAAGGTGGCCGAGTAGTTTAATCTGCCGGCGTCCAAATGAGCGTTTTGACGAATTCAGTTGAAGACCAGCGCAACGAAAAACGTCAAGAATTGCCGAGAGACGAGACAGGTGGCTTTCGAAGGAAGGCGAAAAAACGATTACATTGTCCAGATAGCAAAGGCAGGTCGACCGTTTGAAACTGTGGAGACGACTGTCCATCATAAGTTCAAAAGTAGCCGGGGCGTTTACAACCCAAAAGGCTTGACTTTGATTGATTGATATATGGGGTTTAACGTCCCAAAACCACCATACGATATGAGTGAAGGGCTCCGGAAATTTTGACCACCTGCGGTTTTTTAACGTGCACCCAAATCTGAGCACACAGGCCTACAACATTTTCGCCTCCATCGGAAATGCAGCCGCCGCAGCCGGGATTTGAACTCGCGACCTGCGGGTCAGCAGCTGAGTACCTTAGCCACTAGACCACCATGGCGGGGCAGGCATGACCTTAAATTGGTAAAGGTCATCGGGTGTAATGAATACTGTCTTCTCGCGGTCACGGTCATCGACCGAAATTTGCCAGTATCCGGATCGAAGGTCAAGGGACGAGAAACAGTTGGCGCCGTGGAGGTAGTAGAGCACATCATCGATTCAGGGTAGAGGATGAACGTGCTTCTTGGTGATCCGATTCAGGTGGCGATAGTCAACGCAAAAGCGCCAGGTGTTGTCCTTTTTTTTAACTAAGACCATGGGAGATGCCCAAGGACTCGATGAAGGCTCAATGACGTCTTTGCTCAGCATTTTCTCGACTTCCGTCTGTATAACTTGGCGTTCAGCATGTGACACGCGATAAGGGCATTTGTGGTGTGGACTGGCGTCGCCCGTGTCGATGTGGTGGGTTACGGCACTTGTGCGGCCCAGGGGACGGTCGTTGACGTCACAGATATCCAGGTAAGAAAATAGAACATCCGTAGCGCTGCAACTTCTGAAGGTTAGAGGTCGCTGGATATTATTTTGTCGAGGAACGCCTTATCTTGCGGGGTGACGACAGGTTTCACCACGGTCTTAGTGTCAGGGGCAAAAGAACAAATAGAACATTTGTCGGGGGTGGAACGATCGGTTAAAGTGACGCCTTGGGGAAGAACTTGGATCAACGTAG